TTCCTTAGGCTGGATAATAATTAAAGCAGCTTTAATCCAGTGACCTCTGTGCAGTTCAGAGGCTTGCTGAGTTTTGATTTGTTTTTCTGTCTCGCTTCAGAACAGAAATTACCTCCTAGTCATATTTACACTATTATGGCTGAGCCCGAGAGGCATAAAATAACCTTTGAACCCTTCTTTTTTTCTGTCAACAGTAAGAGGGTGAAATTTAAATACTGGGCCCCAGAATAATTTTAATATTTCAAGTGGGAAATAAAATTACAGATGACATTCTGGTGTTGGTTAAATGCCGAATGATGCAGATCTCAGTTTCTCCTTCCACTCCCACACCCCCTGCTTGCACATGCTGTGTGAAGTTAGCAAGGCGATGCTGACTCCTCAAGTAACATACGAAGGTCACGTATGCAGAACTGCTCCACATAGATTACGTTCTTAGATGACCGTTTTAAGTATGCAATCAGATTGGAATGGGAGGGTGGGGCTATTGCATATTGTACTTCTTTGCATACAGTATCTCAAAAGATTTTAAAATATAGCTGTGGGGAAAAGAGCAATCCAGAGTCAGAAACCTGGCTGATACTAGCAGAAGTAGTGCTACAAAGATGCTGGCAGAACATTTCCTGCCACTGTCGTCCCATTCTATTCATCTGTTATCACAGATGACCGTTCCCAACCTGATACTCTCTAGGTGTGTTGATCCAACTCCCTAGTTCTCTAGCCAGCAAAAGTATAGATTTTCTTCACAATTTAGTGGTATCACAACCAGTTTATAATCGGTCTTTGTGCTGTCTAGAAGATATTAAGTCGCATACAAGATTGAAGGAAAATTGCTATGAGTTTTATGGTATTTATTTTTCCACCATTGAGAGTAAAAAGTCAATATTGTAGGCACTACTTTACTGTCAACATCCAGCTCTAGAATCCAAATAAAACTCCAGGTTCATTCCGTCTACGAAAATCTTAACAACTGCATTTTAATGTTGAAGCAAAAGTAACTCTGAGGTTCCAACACCAAATCATAGACTACAACAATAATTTTCCCAGCCAAACCCCCAATGTCTTACATAGTCCATGTAAAAAATTCACTTTGTTATGGGAACCGTCTGCTTCAAATCCACACTTGTTATGGTGTCCTTGAAAAGGTTTCAGGCTCTCACGGTCTTCAGCGGAATCATAGAAGTTTTGTTTCTCCATCTAATCCACTGGAAAGTAACACCTCCCCCTCTTACTCTAAAGGCATGTTGACACACACAGGCATGTAGCTGCCATAGTTTCATCCTTGACATGCTAACACACCTCCCCGCAAGAAGAATGGATCTAGAAAGGCATAAAACAAACACATATACATTGCTTAAGATTCCTATTACTTAATCTTCCCCCTAACTGGGGTTGATCAGGGTATCTAGAATGGAATTTCTTTATTAACGGCTCTAGCATTAGTCGCTGCTACCCATTGTGCCTCTGTAAGGAGGTATCCTTTCCACCTTACCCCATATTGCAGCTCTCCCCCTACAATATCTAGAATCCAAAATTTATTCAATCTCACAATGCCTTTCTCCCTTGGCCAGAATTGGGAGGGGAGGTGGTTTCTCAATTGTCCTCATTCTTGAACCTCGAACAGGCTTTAATAAGCTATAATGGAACACTGGATAAATCCGTTTAAAACCCCTTGGTAATTGCAATTTTACAGGAACTGGGTTGATGATTCTTATGACAGTAAAAGGACCTATAGATTTAGGACCTAGTTTCTTACAAGGTATTTTAAGGTTCAAGTATTTTGTGGAGAAATATACCTTGTTGCCCACTTTAAACTCCTTTTGAGTAGCTCTTATCTGCCTGTCTTTTTTTACTTTTTTGTGCTTTTTCTAACACTTTGAGTACTCCAGGCCATGTGCTCTTTATACTATCCATCCACTCTCTTAATGTTGAGGAAAGGGTACCTTGAGGGATCTCGGGCATAGCTACATACTCAAACCCTGTAGCCACTTTAAAAGGGGTAAGTCCAGTGCTGCTATCTACCACATTATTATATGATACTTCAGCAAATGGTAATAATTCAGCCCAAATATTTTGTTGATAATTTACATAGCATCTTGTATATTCTATCATTGCATTCATACATTCCGCCACTCCATTTGTGCACGGATGAAATCCGAAATTGAGTTCTTGGGATGATCCTATTGATCAAATGAACTCTCCAAAATATTGTGGTGAAGTGCACCCCCCTGTCTGAGATGATTTTTTTAGGGACTCCATGCAGCCTATAAATATGCTGCACAAACATTATGGCCAAACTCTTAGCTGAGGGGAGCTTTGGGCAGGCTACAAAAGGTGCTTGTTTTGAGAATAGGTCAACTACGGCCCATATTACAGTATTTCCAACACTCAGGCAATTCCACAATGAAATCCATGGCTATTTCTTACAATGGTCTTCTAGGGTTAGCCACTGATTGTAATAAACGTGGGGTTCCCCCAGGTAATCGCTTCATGGAAGCACAAACTGAGCAACTAGTAACATTCATGTCTCTTCATTTTTGGCCACCAAAATAGTCTTCACAAGATGAAGGGCTTTTACAAACCCAAAGTGGCCTGCTAATTTTGGATTATGTGCTCTTTCTAACACTATCATCCTTTGACTATCTGGGACATGCACTTTTGTCCCTTTCCATGTCATATCATGTTTTATCATTAGAGCATCTTTATGGTTTTGGAACCAAGTATCTTGTTCCAAAGCCGCCTTAAATTTTTGCCTCCGCCTCAGTGAATCTAATATGGAAGGTGTTTCCCCTGCATGGAACCCCTCAAGCTGATGCGAGCTGACTGGAAGGGATTATAGAATTTACTACTTCCTTGGTACTTTTGTACTGAGGCATATGTGAAAGAGTATGAGCCAATCTCCCCCCCCCCACGGTATATAATGGAGATTGAAATTAAATTGATTTAAATATTGAACCCTGTTTCAGGGACAATTTTCTTCGGGTCTTTAAAGCCTCTTAAGTTCTTATGTCCACACTTCAAATGGGATTTTACTACCCTCTTAAAAATGTTTCCATGTTAGGAGAGCCCAGCAGACAGCAAAGGCCTACTTTTCCCACACAGCCTATCTTATCTCAGTGTCTGATAACTTTCGAGAGGTGTAAGCACATGGTTGTAACTCCCCCTTCTCATTTTTTTGTAGCAACACTGCTCCCACTGCCACATCACTTGCATCCACTTGAATTACAAACGGCTTCTCTGGGTCTGGGTCTGCCTTAATAGTGGTTCTGCAGCAAAAAGCTTTTTTATTTTTTCAAATGCCATTTGACATTCAAGGGTCCAACCTAAGGGGTGACTTGGTTTGGGCTTCATCTTTTCCTGTCTTTAATAAATTTGTTATGAGTAAAGCAATGTGCAAATATAAGAATAAATTGTCTATAGAAATTTGCAAATCCCAAAAAACTTTGCAATTG